TGGTTTGTTCATGTAAAATGTCTTGGCAAAGAGGTGTACCGAGAGGAAGAGGAGAAGGAAAGCTGGGATATCCTCAAGGCTTTGTTATCATTGTAGTTCTGATATAGAAAAGCAACTGTAAGGCTGAGGAATTTGTTACACTGAAGAAGCCAATCTCTGATTCAGTGAAGAGAAGTGAAGAGAAAGAGATGTTTTGGTTATGACCAGCCAACCGCTCCTACGGGTGATGTCTTTGGTGAAGAAAGCAGTTTTTGCACTGTTTTCCTTTCTGCCAGCAGCTCTAGTAAAAGTGATGATGACTATTTCACCAAACTCTCTGACCTTTCCACAATGGAGAAGCAACACACAGCAATAAGTGGAACCCTGCACAATTTCACGCTTCTTGTGCTTTAACTCATCACAGTCATAAACGATTAACAATCAGATCTGACAGCACACTCCCTAAGCTTACAGTCCTTGTTGAACCCACCCCAAAAAAGCCTATGCATGGGCTACTTCTACTGTGCAGAGCAAGAGCACGACTGTCCATACACCTTCTACATAGAAACCTATCAGCATCACTTCTACTTATTACCCATTTTTTTCTCTCCTGCTTGAAAAAACGGTTATGAGTCAGAAGGAAACTGTGCATATGGAAAGTAGAAGGTAACAGTATATACAGAAAATTGTGTTAGATGGTAGATAGAGGGGAAACAAGACCTGTGCCTGTGCTATTAGATTCACCATACGCAAAAGGTAGAAAAAAAGCAAACGAGCTGTGAAGCAAAGTGCATGTCTCACTGGTATTTGTTTTTGTGCCCTGGTGCACAATGCTGAGTTTTTTTCAGCCACCATCATGTTGAAGTTCAACTAAATTAAGAGCAGGGCTTAGTGAGTTTCCTGAAGAAGTGAGCATTCATGACACTCTTTTCTTTTCCTCCAGGCCTAGAAAGAAATCATTATATGACACTTACCCTGTCAGACCTATCAGCTCTGAGAGCTCTACCATATGCAGAAGCCCTGCATCTATCTTGTATTAAGATAAACAAAGATATGATCCTGTTCTCACATCCGAAGATTTTTAATTTAGGAGACACATACTGTTCCAGTGCAGAAACATGCCCCTCATTAACATTCCTCTGCCTTATTTTTGAACTAGGACAAGATGATGAGGAATACGTACCATTGCATATGGCAACAGTGTCTGATGGGGGGGTCACTGAAATGATCTGGGAGGTTGTATAAGGTAGTATCTGGACCTTATTATTATTATTATTATTATTATAAATTTATATCCCATTTTTTTCTGTTTTCTAATAAGGAGATCATATGGTATATTTTAAAAGTATCCAATGGATATTCATACATTATTGACAAGCAGGGTGTTAAAGATTAAAGGCAACAAGAGTTGCAGAGAAGCTGATTATAATTTCTCATTTCTCTCTCTCTGTTCTCCTCATCACTTACCCCCTGCCACACACAAACATATTTCTCTGATAGCCATTTGTTGTTTTCAGTCAGATCACTTAAAAAAAATCTTATTGTTTCTGTTTATTTCCTTGGCAATTCTCTGTTCACTGGGAGTTTATGCTTTTTTAATCTGTTTATTACACTCTTCCAGCTTTATTTCCTAATCCTCTTTTGTTCTTCCTAGCTTCGTTACTTTTAAACTGGGAAAGCTGCTTCTTTTTTTTTTTCTTGTGAGCTTTACATGAGTTCTTTAATCACACTAGTACAAACACATACTCCTGCACCCATCTTCTAAGGAGCCTTCCTTGACAATTCTCTTTCTTCTGACCTCTTTCCAATCTTACTGAGTACCAAAATCTTAAAAAGCAGCTAATAGGAAGAATTAACAACATTAAAAGCCCTATGTTCACATAGATAAAGAATCGTGCCCAATCATGCATGCAGTCTTTGAGCAATTACACAGTGCAGTTAAAGAGTCTGCTCCAAGTCACGAGACACAAGCCACACTGCCAGGAGCATGGTGCCTATGTCCCTTCGGAGTCTGGCACTCGGAGGAGCCACCCACTCACTCTTTAGGCATCCTTGCAGGCCACAGCCCTTCCCCTGTCCCACCATCCTACCTCCCTTCTTAGTGTTAGCCTCATGCATCATCCCTTTTAAATTGCGAAGGTGTGTCAGTAATGCTCATCATGTATCAACAAGAATTCACAAATAAGGTCTGATACAATAACATTTTATTCTCACTTGGCAGAGGTGAGAAATGGCTACGCACGCCATGGAAATTTTGCCTTACGTACCTCAGGAAATATAGTATCTTAATGACTTTTTATAATACAGTTTTCCTTTAATTTAATGATTTGTGAATCTAGTACTGAAGTCTCACAGACTACTCAAAAGACATCAACCCTGTAATAATACAAGTCTAAATGACTGCAGACAGCAATGAATGTTGAGTTAAAGTAATTTCAGAGATGAACCAAATGACAATATTACTTATTCTCAAGATCAGGCTGCATTGATATAACATTTTTATATGTTGATTGTGCCAGATTTACAGGATATAGGACTATACTGGTCTTGCTTTCCTTCTCAATAAATACAATGGTGAAGAAACAGGGGTGGTTTCTTTGTGCAGTAAAACCCTGCCACACCAATGGCCAAAAATAATCAAGTGATATTAATCAGTCTCCTTTTCATCTCCATAGAGATTAGAAATATTACAGACAGAAACACAGCTTTAATTAGTCTGGTCACACAAAAGGAAAAACACATGACTACTCTAGCAGATAAATCACAGTAAAGATACAAATCACATCTCAGAAGGTGAACAGTAATTTTCTCCTGGATCTCAAACTAGGTAAAAACCATTATACTTCTTAAACCCTGTAGAAGAATGGCAATATGCCTGTGATTAACACTTCAAGAGTGTTTCTAATATACATGTACTTATTTCTCGGTTTGGTGAACATCAATATATGTAAGCCAAATAGTTACTGAGGCAAACTTCAGGCTGATATTTACTGTGAAGGACAATCAATCTTCAAATTTATTTTCATGTAGTAAACATCACATGGTTCCTAAATTATTAAAATATGCCCCAAGCAATAGACACCTCTCTAACTCCAAGCTGGCTCAAGCACTCAGTGCTCTTAAAGACCTCGGACTGCACCTGAAGTTTAACTTACCTAACTCTGGTTCACCTATGCATTTGTTCAGTGGAGCTAAACTTTACAAGTAGGTATTTCAGAAACCACTTTTCTGGAAGAGACACTTCAACCCCTTCTTCGTGGCCCAGCATTTGAAACAGATAGACTGGTGCTGCTTTCTAATGCAAATCCGAAGTCTCCTAGGTGGAATGTGATTAGCCTGGGGCAGTCTCACCGGACAGAAAAATCTTCAGCCTGAAACGTTGCCGAGATCGTTACAGATGGCATTTGACAGTGAAGATCAGGATGGATTTGTTCGTATGGAAAGTAAAGCGTAACCAGGGATGGGATTCAAAATAGCCAGAGCGAGGATACAGAAAGGTCCCAAAAAAGTCAAAACTGTACCCGAATTGATGTTGAACCACACTGGTGCAGCACTGCTACGATGGGGGGGGGGAGCACTAAGTGCCTTCGCTTCCACACAAGCAGCTCCACAGAGCAGCTCCATCTCCAGAATGCACTTGGCACAGTGCAAAGCTACATCTGCAGGATACACATCGACAGCCTCCTGGGGGTTAGGAGCGCTGGAAGCACCGTGTGCTTCGCTCATCAGCTTGCTAGCAGATCTGCTCCGAGCAAACAAGTTACCAGAAGCAGTTAGGCAGCAGAAGAGCCCCTTGCTCTGCAGCTGCCCGGCACTGGCAGGAGGCTCCCCACGCCAGCGATACAGCTGGCTAGCGTGCTGCACCAGCATTGTGCTCGAAGGGTTGCATTTGTCCCCTAATTACCTCGTGGAGTGTAAGCCTACGGAGACCTGAGCATTCGAGGTAAAACTACGACAGCTATAAAGCCCTGAAATGCGATCATACGATGTGCCGCAGAACTGACGGAGCAGCCCCAATTAAAAAGTTGCATACGAATGGCATTTTGTGTCGTGAAACTGTTCCTCAGCTGTGCCACAGCATCTGCCAGAATGGTTTGAAGATAAGGGGAGCATTTTTAATCCAAACCAAAGTAACTTTATTCACTACACACATACATTTACAATAAGCATGGCTCCACCAGGGCTCACAGGAGAGAGAATAGCTCTCTCGAAAGGTTCCATCAAAACTACATTATGGATACAGAGGAGCACAAAGGGAACCAAATGCACATGGCATGCTAACGAACAGTAATAAAACAGCATTATTAAGACTGCAAATCCAAGCCCTGAAAAAGTTAGGAAATGCCAGAATTCAGGCTGTTTGCAGGAGCACAACTTGCCCCTGCCTCCTGCAGATATGTGGTCCAGAACAGCCTTCATGACATGAATATTTGTTTTGTTCTCCAGGATCCCTCTGTCAGCTCTCTGAATGGACAATGCTCCCTGAATAAGCAGCAATTCATTTTTCTTTGCCTTCTCCTAGAAATCCTGTGTGCTGCTTTATGCCTTATTTACTGCTCTGAAAGCAGAATTATTCATTTTTTCAAAGAGTTTTCTCTGGAACTCACTATGTAGTACCAGAGAGCTTCTCAAATATTAATGACAGCTGTTTGCACAACATGCCTTTGAGATGATACGATGTGCACGAAGGTAGCTTGTTTCGGCCTGGGCAGCCTTCAGCTCTTTAACAACTTCACCAGCTCCAGCCAGGAAAACATGAGTTGTTCTCCAGAAAGGGTGAGAGTGTGCATGCAACAGCACTGATGAGGAGAGAGAGAGAGAAGTTGATGCTCAATAGTCCACTGTATTAGGGATTTTATAGGTTTTAACAGGATAGATTTAGGCTCTGCTTCTTTACATGGATCAACAGACTGAGAATATGCCAAAGGAAAGGTATTAATGAGAAGAGCAAGAGTTCACAGCAGTCACAGCACCCCATGCTTTTCTCCATCTCCCTGTCATGGACAAAGCCAGTTTCATACCTCCCAACAGCAACACGCTCCTGCCTGGGTCCTGCTCTTCTCCCACCATGCTGGGAAGGCACGTAAGGGTAACACAGCCGGTCTCATCACCTATTCACATCAGATCTTCCCTGAAATTTGGGAAACATACACAGTGTAAGGACAATATAATTAATTAGAAGATTGTGTACATCAGAGTAAGGAGTACATTTTTTGGAAAAGAACAATGCAGGTATCAAGGCTTTGATAGTCAACTTTCTATAGTTATGGGGTGCTTAAAAAAAAAAAAAAAGATTTTTGACTGGTTACAAAAGCTGATGTGCTCAGCTATTCTCACATGAAGAAAACCAACTATGAGTAGTAATGGATGAGTGACCACCACTTAATTTATGAATTTTTGTTAATTTTTTTTTACTGTACAAGGTAATTTTTCAACATGAATTTCAATGCAAGGAATGGAAATTAGATGAATGAAATAACTTATGGTATTATTCTGTTTTCATCTTTTTAAATTAAATTTTCCTTTGGGGTCAGCTTGGTTGTATTTCCTTTAAATACAGGGACCAGGGTATTTATGTACTCTGGTCCTCACAGCCTGGTAGGTTGCTCACTTGCAGATGTGCATTTATGTAGTTTTATATAACATACATATATATACACAATATATATATATATATTGTGTATACAATGCACACAGTGTTATACACGTATATATGTATAGTGATAAGTCCTGCATAGAACAAGAGATGAACAGTCACTTGGAAAAATCTGAAACTCAGTGAAGAAAAGAAAATATAAGCAAAAATAAACTTTGTTTATAAAGACTTTGTCTGCTGAAGAGCTTATTTGCACAATGTTGAAGTGACTCCCCTTAAGATTTTATGCTGGATGAATGAGGACCAACAAAAAAGTTGCTGAGCCAAGTTTAAGCAACACATCACTGTTAAACTGTCTAGTTAAACAAACTACCTGTCATGAAAGCCTTCAGCTTCATTGACAAAAATACTAAGGAGAAACTAAAGAGAAACTAAAGCCCACCCAGCTGGAATAATCAGCCAAGAGGACCCAGAGGAGACCAAAGGCAGATAAGCTGGATGAACAGATGCCTTGGAAAATTGCATGCAAAAAATAGTTAAGTGAGGGTGAAAAGCAGTGGTGCAGTGTGCTTTATAGAAACTCATCTCAACACCTTCATAAATTGCAGGTTTTAAAGGTTTGCTTCTGCTTTTCTTTCCCCTTTTCTCATTTGTGTATGGAAGTGCAACGGTTGGGTGACTCACTAAGTAGCAATGGATGAGAGCAGTGATCTTTTCTCCTCCAAAATGCAAAGCTGGAGGAGTCACTTAAGTTCACTGGAAGAGTAGTGTTGTTATAGACTTAACCATCAGATATCAGCTCTCTGCTCCTTAAAAATGTTTAACTTTACTTGTCAAGTAAACAACCAGGACAAAATAGAAGTAACCTCCACATCCCCAAATGCTCCAAAGGTTAGATGTGGTGGTAAAAAATGGTAATTTGTCACAGAAAACATTTTGTTGTTGTTGTTTTTGTTGAAATTAAATGAAAATACTGTCAGTAAAAGCTGGCCTTTTTTCTTTTTTTTTTTTTTCCCTACACTTAAATGCATGATTGTTATGTACGCAGGTAGCAAATTTAAAGAACCCATTGTTCACAAGAAAGCTATTAATAAAGATTTTTTTCGTCCTCTGGGAAGACAAGAGAAATAAAAGGTTTACTATTTTGTAGCCCCAAGACATCTGGAGAGGAATGCACACGTTGTTGAAAGTACCTGAGGCAGCTGGCTGTGTGCACAGTTCCTTTTTACAACATTAGGTCCAGCAGGATGAGAGAGAGCTATTTGTCCTGAGTATATGCCTTGTGTTTTGATATATTTTCAAAAGGAAAAACAGCAGGAAGCGCATACCTTTTTATACTTGAAATGGTGGCATTGAACCTGAAGCACTTGGGGTTCCTGGGCTTTATGGGTACATAATATAGTGGTGAGAAGGTTATTATATGACAGGAATTATTGCTTAGGCTTTAAGTAAAAAGCAACATTGTATGCGGCTTTTTTTTTTTACAATGTGAATGGACGAAGAAGAGTTCCCAGTTTTCTCTGTACATCAAAATATTTTGTTTCCTTTTGTAGAAGAGAGTGTCTTTGGGTGTGGAATTATGAACAATCCCTGAGGAAGCAGCATTCAGTTGAAGAGCTGACAGCCTTTCCTCGCACGTAATTTCCTCTTTGAGATGCAATGCAGGACAGAGAGCACTTTTGAAGTAATGTCTATTTACAAGTTCTAATAGCTTTGTACACAATGATTTCCTTCATGAGACATCTCAGCCACTTCCAATGTATTCTTACACTTTCAAATATCAAGCAAACGTAGTGACAGGTGCTGCAAAGCAGCCAAGGAGATAGCTCTCCCTGTGATTGAGTTATTATGTATTCCATTAGATAGTGCCGCTCAGCTGAGCTTTTGAAGGTGGAAGGTAAGATTAACAGAGGAGGAAAGGCTTCTTGTTAATTAAAGTGATGCACTGCCAATTGTAAGGGCGATCAAATATTGGTTCAGCCTTACCACTGCTGCTTACTTTTAATAGGCAGGAGTATATTTGATGATGGATGATGGAACTGCCCAGCAGAGCAGAGGCTGTATGCAAAGCCGCAGCCTCACCGCTCACCTCTTTCAAGATCAGAAATGTGCAGACTGACAAGACGAAGACTTGGGAGAAAAATTGTTCAACAAGTGCAAAGAGACCATGGCACTGAACCTGGAAACAAACTGTTCATTACTTGACTAAAAGTGTAACAGGGCAGTTTATATGCAGCGTGCTTATTTATCGTAAACGCTGCAGCAAAGCTAATGATTTTTGTTTTAGTTGGAGTTCAGATTCTCACTTTCATCAGCATTATCTTGCAAAATACATTCCCAAGATTATTTTAATTTAGGATTTGACACCAGCGATTGCCTTTTTTCCCCTCAAAGGATAAATTAGTTCACAATAAAAGATGCATATTAGGCAATTTATTATGCTAATGACTTGTAGAAAAAAGCCAAATTACCTTGATGGTGGATTATATTGAACAATAAAGAAACACACTCCTTGCAATTCTCAGTAAATGTATAGTTTAGCAGTGGTTAGCTACAGGAAGCCTCCTGGTAGTAGTATCCACATTAAAGACAAACAGACATGCATTATCAGTAACCACAGTCACAGTGAAACAATGCAGACAGATCTCAGATTTGTAATTAGATCTCATTACCTTACACTAGTCATTTTTAGCTCAGCTTGGAAGCAAAGCTTGTGTGAGCGTGGCATATGGTGCATGTGCTGGCATTTCCCTACCCGATGATTTTAAGATCTATGATCAGACTTCAAACACTTTGAAGGAAAAGTTGAGACTCAAAGAAATTAAGCTTTGTACAAATTTTATGCAAATAGAGAGCCAGGTAGATCAAAAAAAATCCATTAATGATCCTCATTGATACAGAAGCTTGGCGTGAACATACGAATTCATAGGAAACAGCTGCTCCCAGAAAGGTTACTCGCTTTGAGGTGTGAAACAACTCTCCCAGGCTATGTGCCCTGCCACTTCTGCTGACGTCCCCGAGGACTGAGGACAGACACATTCCTGGGCACGGGGTATCAGGCACATGGGAAAGTAGGAAAGAGCTGCTGCAGGGTACTGTCTATGGATCGTAAAGCTTGCATAGGGATAAGGATACAGGTGGAGAGAGGCATTTCGCAATTCAACCTTGAAATAACGAATGGACCAGCATCCCTAACTTCAATAAACGCAAGATTATACAGAAAAATTTAGATGAGTATCAAAATTATATTTTCAAGTGGGATCTATAACAAGATTCAATCAGACACACAAACACACACACAGAAAAATGCTCCATGAAGACGGAATGAGAAAAGTACAGTTTTATGTGAGCAATAAAATACAGAAAGCTATGTAATTGAAGGAAAAATAGAAAGTGGCCTGAACACTAACCCTGCACCAGTTGCATCAACCAACATCTGAACAACCTAAAGAAGGGTGGAAGCAGCTCAGACTCTTCTAGAGTCTCCGGCAGTAAGAAAAAACAGCAGTAATTTTAAAACGCTACGGTGTAATGAGTTTTGACAACACCTGGTTAGAATGAAAATGAGTCCTTTTTAGTAGATGATTAGAGGGATTATAACCTAAAAGATTAAAGGAAATGCCTTTTCAGAATCTGGTCGGTTTAGATTTCTCAATTCACCTGATTATGGAGTTTTTTCTCCAGTCACTGCTACTGTTACAGAGCACCTCTGAATAAATGGTCCTGGCATACCCATTCTGCTTATTTTAAAGTGACTAATTACAACTAAATTTCTCTTTGCAATTATGTAATCTGCACTGATGAAATTAAGCTTTTATGTGTTTAGTTGGTATTCATTTCCCTGTTTGGGAAAAAGAAAGCCCAAACCATTTGGTTAAACCCTGCATCTCCCCCCATCAGTCACTGAGCGCAGAGACCTTGCTGCTCCAACACGGAGAGGCAGTGGCACTGCTCAGAAAGCAAGGACAGAGCTCTGGAGCTGGGTAAGCGAAAGTTCAGCATCACTGTGATAACATCAGAAGATGGAGCTGCAACTCACTCCTTCCGAACTATCATCACGTTATGAAAATGAGTGTTTTCAGTGTGTTCTGTAGCAGGAAATATTTTATCTGCTATAAAAACCAACAGTTTTTTTTAAAAACAATTAAACTCTCAAGCTTCTTTTCAGAATGTAACAAGCTGTGAAAGTCATTTACAGAGTTGGATGTACAGCGCCATCACTTTCATCCTCCAATGTAGTGACAAAAATGCAATATAAATGAAGCTCCATTTTCTTTTCCTTTGTAGATCTGTTCTGCACTGTGTTCACCAGTTTAAAACCTCAGTTACATAAATAATTAACTAGGACCAACTGAAAGTTAAATGCCAGTTTGTAGGAAGAACTACCTACTTCTTTCCTGACTACCATTAGTAGAAAAGCTGAAAACACTTAGAAGAGTGGCTGCCACATCAAAGTGAGTAGGATGTGGGGAAAGTTCTTCCAAAATGTGGTCTCCAAGTAAAGTTAACGCCTTTTCCAACTCAGAGTTTGAATTAGA